CTAAGTGAAAAATTCTAATGATTCATGATTGCATGATGAATAAACTTCGCTTGCAACTAGTAAAGTGAACTGCGAACATATAGAATAGATTCAATACTACCGCTTTAGCAAGACATTTAGATTTATCCTCTGCAGACATCCGGTAATAAAATTCACTTAACTAAAACAAAGATTTTACCATAAGCCAATACATTAGAGGAAGGAGCACATGAAGCATAATTCTACTCTTAGAAGAGCGACTCTTCAGGTATTGGGAACCTCAATGAAATATAGTAAAAAATTGCTGTAAAGGGATACCGAATTCTCTTGAATGATGCTAGGCTTTTGTAGTAGGCTTCCCCACACGGGTATCAGATTATTAGAGATAATGATCACTGACTGTAATCACTGCCTTATTATCGTCGTTAACTGCCGAGCACAGCGCTGCAGAAACTAATTGCATCAATCGAGGACCGGGCTTTCAACTCCCGATTTTAAGTAGCTGATTTTCAAGTGCACTAATCAGTTGCCATTAAGATTCTTCATTTTGAATTATTGCCTTCGGTTACTTTAATCAAACAACCAATTTCAGGGGCATTAATTGGTTAATGTCGTTACCTTAGACATATGCGCATCAGATTTTCGGAAGTACGACTCACTCCCGTCTCATATCGCATTCGAACGGCGTTCTTTATTGTTGATTATCACTGTCGTAACTACATGGTGTAATCGGATACGTGATTATCGTTTATCACAATAATTTCTCTACGTGACCGGTATCATAATGTATTATGTGCAAGGACTCGGTAAATGGATCTAAGCCTACAGCTAACTGGCTATAATGAGGTCAACGAAGCTTCTGCGAAAGAAATTCTGTCTCTAGGTTACCTTAACTGCCAATTAGTAATTATTCGTTTTCACTCTTTAGACTATCAACTGTCTCATTAAACTGTTAATGCAAGTCTTTTGAACGTTTTTCTTGCCCGATGTCGCATTGCAGGATGGTTCGCGTAAATGCACTGAGTCGGAAAATGTCAAAAATTGTAAGTTTTTGACAATTTATCCGCATTATCAGCTTTTCATACAACTGCGGCATTCCGGTCGTTTGTTTTTGATGCGATGTACAAATCTTGCAAGAAGCTCCTGCAGAACATGCATTCAAACACGTTTAATTACTTTACCGTCAGCCTCATAACTTAATAGCAGTACATGTAGAGAGGCTGCACCAACGTCTTCGCAAGATTTTGGTGAAGGTATAAATCACTTTTCTTTGAGATACATTCGACCTCACAGAATGTCGCCACTATTTGGGCTTTAATTTTAGCCACAGTCATTGGCAGCCAAAATTCAAATAATTCGGATCTTGAACACAGTCCTGGTTACTTTCCATCAAACCGAATATGCTAGCTGTTCTCCCGATTGCTTCCTCCCTCATTGCCTTCATCTTTCCAGTATCTCTTTGCACATCCAGGATATATGTTCAAGAGCTTTTCAGAAAGCAGGCATTGCGGAACTTATGCACAATAATGCACTTAGAGAAATTCTGTAGCCATTTAGTCAAAGACGTAAAGGGATGGAAGAAATGACTGGTGCTCTCAAAAGGCCTGAAGGAGAAACTCGAAACGTTAGGACGCTCGCTTCAAGAAGCGATAAGAATTCAATTTAATTTATTTGATAATCAGCATAAACTTGCGTCAGTTCATTACCTAATGAAAGATATTAATCGTAGACCAATACCGTAAGTATGAGTAAAAATTCATGTCTAATGGCAGATCAAAGTATAAAAATTCGAAACCAAGTTTCATGTTTGCACTGTTGCACAAGACCCAAAATCTGAGAGAGACAACGACAAAAATATCACTAACTTTTCAACATGCGCAGACCTTCACAATACATTAATTGTTCAATGAATAAATAAATAAACATGAACAGCAGGAAAAAGTATAAAATTATAATAGCACACTTAACGAATCATACTAATTTGGGTTGTTTATGGATCTGACAACCCACAGAAATGCAGAATGCACAAATCTACGCAATAAATGCAGATAAAAATTTCCCTATGATAAAACACGACTATGCACATTTTCAAAACATTCAGCGATCAACGCACACGTAATCAGGCCGCGTCAATAACAACAAGTAACAACCCTACTACACTACAGCCTGCACATTTATTACTGACACTTTCTATCGTTGTTGCGCCCAGAGGAGAAGTTGCGCATACGAGTCTTTCTGGGAACGACTTTGTTGCTGAAAGTGCGAGCGAGGTTCTCGCGGCGACAGCCGCCGGCAGACAGCAAATGGCTACCGTTTTCTTTTATGTTGTATACCCAACGCGACTGATCAAACTTTGCCACCGAAAATAGATCCGCTGCCCGCAGCAGTCTGGAAGATCGTGTGTTCAAGCTCGCTTCTATAAACCATCAAAATCATACGTCGTATCAACTAACAACTACATGTACAAAGTTACGAAATATTTTCTTCAATTGTTACTGACTAAATAGCAATAAAAAAACAGGAAATTTTACAGAATGAAAGAAAGGAAAGATGATAACCGTTATGAAATCGATATCTAGTGACACTGGACGAAGGAAAATAACTGCTTGTCACCACGACCGGCAGTGTTTTTGCATCCTTCTCCATTTTTCATGGAGCTTACCGTTAAACGCTGATATCCGTTTGACAGTAAGAAGTACGTTAAAGACAACATCTATAACTATGTCATGTAAACTAAATATAGGCTGTCACAAAATAAGATGCATAACAATTGCGAATGAAATGTGCAATCGCGATGACTCACGTAATAAAAATCAGAATCACAACACCCAAACGGAAAATAAAAGACCATGGAAATTACAACAAGTTAATCAACCTCTGAAAGATGAAAAGCGAGTGACCCGGAAGGGCCCTTAACTCATTTTCTGTTGACTGTTCAACGTCATACTAACTAAGCAACCTTGGTCCTAACAAGGATTTTCGAATAAATCATTACAGGATCAGAGAAAAAAAGAAAAACACTTCTTTAAAATACATATCTTAAGAAAAATTAGGACGACAAGAAGCGAACGAAATCATGAAGGCGAAGAATCAGTCAAAAAGAAAGATGTACAGGTTCAAGATGAATGAAACTTTTTCTGCAGCAGGAATAACTTTCTTAGCGATAAAAAATGCGAATCCATTCTCAAATTTGACATCGGGCTATAAGAAGCCATGGAAGAAAAAAGAAAGCTTACAATCTTTGGGATGTCAGTCTCATTTACAGTGTCATGGTTGGAGCCATTATGGGTGCCCTTCATTTCACGAAGCTTTCAGATTTTCGTTCAGTCATCAGCCAGGATTACCTCATTCTTTACCTCTTAAACTAAAATCTGCAGCTATCTACAAGAATAGCGTACAGTCTCATGTTTTTTCCACACTGTGGTACTCATTTATCGACCTTGGAAGCAGGAAAGGCAAGTGATTATGCTCGAGGCTGGAACCCGGGACTACTCGGTTCTGAGTACGACGCTCTATCAACTGAGAAAACCTCAATTAAACCATTAGCGTGAGAAACCCGTGAAAAAAAAAGAATCTGTCAACTGGCTACCTCAAATCAGTTGACTTTTTATGGGCTAATGTCAGCTCAGCTGAAGAGCGTCGAGTGTGTGCATGAACCTTCGAAATTTCAGCGATGTTACATACGATCGGGCGCTTTCAATAATAAGGTTTAAGAGAAGTTGTAATCGTATTGTCAATTCATGCCTGAATTCGCCAAACAATATCCATGGAAGAAATTTACCTCCAACGCGTTTCGTTATCGATAGCACCTAGGGCAACGCCTTTAGGTTCGATTGGAGTTTTTTGTCAGTAAACCAACGGAACCAGATGCGAGAGGCCACCGGTTCGAACCACTTGCTTTTCTCCCTTCACAGAGTGATAAATTAATATCACTCTGAGGGAAGAAAACAGACGACTATGCTTGTCACATTACTGATGTCGACACTGCCTTCAGAGAAACACTTTCGGCAATCACGACGAAAGAGAAATATTCGTTGCATATTCGATGTTTGTGCGAAAGAATATTAAGAGACTAATTTACTAGAAAGCTACGAGTTGAATGGTCTTCGCCGACTACTAACAATTCAGCCTGCAAAGAAGAATGTAACTTAGACATGGCGTACTACGCAATGACGCAGATATCAACCAGGCCCAGATGCAGTGCAGGAAAGTCAAGTTAACCCACATATTCAAATTACTGTAAATCCTCTAAATCGTATCCCACTGGAGTGCTTATACTCGATTTAGTGCTTGAGATTCAGCGTCTGTTCTCAAAAATAAGCGTTCCCAGTGTCGTTTCTGATCTTGTAAGTCTTAAAATTTGCGATCTTGTAGATTCATCGACATACTGGTTGAAATACATGGGGTCATCAACCAAACCGTAATCAGCTTATGTATATTCGAATTAGCGTGAAAAAATCGTCGCAAAGCACTTTTTGTACCGTTTAAAGTAGCAAAATTGAAAAATAAGTTTATTGTTAAAATTTTTAACAGTGATGGTATCAACCATGAATCGACAACAGAGCCACAGTTTCAACGGAGATAGTTGGTGACGTGTAAATTAGCCACAACCATGCATTACATCCACTGAACAGACAAGGTGCTTGCATACCTGACAGTTGCGAAACGCTTTCTCTGCTGTGCATCACTAGCGGCATTTCGATTAACAGATTTTCATCGACGTTGTACTTGATATTCGCATTTACCTCTGTCGATTCGGTTGTAAAGCAAGGTGTCGGCGTGACCGTCCAACTTCGCCCGCTTTCAACAGGCGTCGACTCGCCAGAGAGTTCTGAACTGCTCGTGACGGCCATGCCGGTTTCTACAACAAGAGCAATGAAGAGAACGACCCTTATTAAAACAGCGTAACAAATAAAATCAATAAGATACACAAATCAAAACACTATGCAAGTACAAACATAAGCTGCAACGACAAACGTTCAACAGACTGACGTCTGGGAGCCGCTGATAATCATATCTTAAATATTGGGGTACATCTGGGCTTTGTGAAGGTTCTACGTTCAGACCAAATTCTAGCAGAATTCTGTCATTTGCTGCTGACAGATCTTCGTTTTACGGAGACAGTTTCTAAGATGGGAGCAAGAAACCGGAACGAAGTAAATGGACTTAGGGAACGACTTCTGGCCACAATCACCACCTTGGTAACAAATGAAACCTGAAGACGTCATAAACTGTTGCCTTCAACAAAATCTCTCTTTACAAATTTCTCATCAATACGATGATATCTGCGTTTTCAGGTTAGTGATCGATTTCTCGAGGGTCTTGAAGCCTCAAAGGAAGCCTTGCAGTGATGGCCGTATAACGGCTTCTTCAAACCCCTGATACACCACTATATTAAAAATCAGCCAGACAGAAGAACCGCTGCTGATCCTGCAGCTAGCTGCGTGCTGAACAGGTTTCACAAGAGCCAATGAAAAAATGAAATACAAATAACCTCATAGCCATCGGAGTCTGTGGCAGCATCAAGCAGGTGATCCGTTCCTCGCCATACACCGACTTGAACTATTGTTCCATTCGATATTTTCCCATACAGCTTAATCTCCTAGAGTCTTTGCGATTCCATGGAGACAGAGTTACGCAGAGACGAAAGGCCAGATCGAACACTCGTTCGTTTCACAAAACGTACTTAAAAGAACTGGGTTCCTAACGCCTCCTGCCGCTGCTGACAAAGGTGGGCAGGAGCGCAACTGTCGCATACATTTGCATGCCCACATCAGAGCAGCACCTTATCCGCACTGTTCGTATGTCGATGAATTGGCACACACTTCTCGGTTGTAGTAGAGCGAGAAGAATTCCGTACTCAAGGGAATCAGCAGTTAGCAAGAAATATTTACATCGAGCAGGGACTCAAACATCACATCTCTGCAGTGCAAAATCAACTACTTATTCGTTAACCCTTATTCCCCTGTTATTTTAAAATTTGACAGTTAAATAAACGGTACTTTACTGTACTTTCTGTGTATCATTCTGACATAAATGTCTTTTAAAGGTAATGAAGAACTGGAGATCTTTGTCAGGTAGGACGGGCTAAGTGCAAGTTTGCTAAACTGCGCTTACTTGGAGTGGTTATGATGACCCATTCGTCAGTTCCGATGTCACCACCGACTGGCTTCTCTTTAACTTCATCTACAAGCTCTTCGTCGACACATCTTCTGCCAAATATCAGCTCGGTCAAATTACTCAGCATCGAAAAAAATCTAAAAGATATAAAATGAACATGCAATGGGTCGCTTTAATGGAAAAAAAATCGAAATCGCGTTAAACACGTTAAAACGACGAAACAAGATTTTTTAAGGATATATCATTGATACGAAAATTTACAGAGAAAACAAAACCACAGTTCCGTGCATCTCTAAAAAAGAAGCATTTCAAAGGGAATCGCCGGAGCGGCCACCTGTT